GTCTGCTGGCTGGGTGCTGGCAGGCTTGCACCTGGCACGGGCACCGTAGCCAGCCCGTGCCCCTTTAAGGGGTCCAGGGCCGGGAGGGGGGCAGACGAGTTTCCCTGGTGTTGGCCAGAGTGGCCACCAGGGAAACCTGGGGAGGGCTAGCCTCCCACTAGTTCGAATTAAGGGGCTACACACCCCTTAATTCGAACTAGGAAGTTCAAACTAGGCTTAATCCTCGTGGAATGAGGATTACCTAGTTCGAACTAAGCGCTCCGTTAGTTCGAATTAAATTCGAACTAACGGAGCACTAGTGTAGCGCCTATGAAAGTTAGTTCGAACTAACTTTGTAGTGTAGACATACCCTAAGAGAATAGAGGAAGCTGTAGTAAAACAAAACAAGGATGTGGCTAGAGCAAGGGCTGTAAAATCCCATTTAAATGGTTCACAGATTACTTATTAAAGGGGGCCGTCAGAGCAGTCCCTGGCATGTTGCAGGCAGGGGGTGGTCTGGATGTCCTGATCAGCCCCTTTCTGTGCCAGGCCCCCTAGAGGGCTGGAGCAGCCCCCCCACCAACAGCAGGTGGGGAATTGCTCCTGCTCAGGCCCCCTAGAGGGCTGGAGCAGCCCCTCCACCAGCAGCAGGTGGGGAATTGCTCCAGCTCCCACCGGTTAACCAGAACTGGTAAGCATCACCTGTTAAGCCTTTTACAGCTAGCCAGAGGTGTGGTTCTCAACGTTTCCAGACTATTGTACTCCTTTTGTGAGTTAGATTTCTCTTACATTCCCCCAAGTTTCACCTCATTTAAAAACTCAGAGAAAAATGAGTGTTACAGCACACTTTTATTGAAAAGTTGCCTACTTTCTCCTTTTGCCTGTATGAAATTTTAGTATGCACTGACTTTGCTAGTTCTTTTTTGTAAACTATTGTAAAACTAAGCAAATATCTGAATGAGCTGACATATCTGCTAGAAGACCTGGTTGAAACCCATTATGACAGCAGGTAAAGGAGACCTTAAAAAATATGTTATGATTGTGAAGCCCCACGTACAGGGTAGGACTTAATTTATATTAATATATTGTACTGCATGTAAAGCTTCAGGGCAATACTTTAACTACTGGTCTGAGGTAATGAAGGCCAGGATTAGTACATTTGTTTGATTACAAAGAACCACCCAATCCCCATCAAATTACCTAGCATATGTTTTCTATTCCTGGATTGGAATCAACCCAATTCCCAATCATACACTTTCAGATTGTGGGCCTACAGATACTATTTCTAAATCAGGCCCAATAGAGGTAACATAGCTTCCTGGATAGCTGAGTAATAGAGAATGTAACTTATTATACAGGTAGAAAAACACCATTTCTTTATCTTCAACAGTTGTGCAAAAGTCAACTTGTATAAAATTACTATTGGCATGTACATCAGATGGACTTTCATGCTGAGTGTAGTTAACAAATCTATCTCATCTATATTTTGTAGTGCGTCTGTGAGTCTGTTTGTTCAAGAACTCCTCCTAAACCACAAGAGCTAGTTTACCAAAAGACCATCAAATTTGGTATGCCGCTTCTTTTTTCCGTAACTTAGTTTACCAAAAGACCATCAAATTTGGTATGCCGCTTCTTTTTTCCCTAACTTAAACCAAAGTCACGGTTTGGTTGTGCCTGGAAAACAGGAAATGCAAGGAACAGGACTGTTTTCAATAACATGAAAAGGGAAGGGACAGAGAACAGAGGGACACAAAAGGAAGGGGCACAGAGAAGAGGGATGAGATTCTGAGAGTGGCCACTGGGGGCATCTGCAGGACAAACTTGCCAGCTGCCTACACTGGCCGCTTGAATTTCTGCAAAAGCACTGACTTCCTACTGTAAGAAATCAGTGCTTTTTGTGGAAATACTATGCTGCTCCCGTTTGGGCAAAAGTCCCTTTTGCGCAAAACTTTTGTGCAAAAGGGCCAGTGTAGACAGCTGAGCTTTGTTTTGCGCAAAAAAGCCCAGATCACGAAAATGGCGATCGGGACTTTTTTGCGCAAAAGCATGTCTAAATTGGCCACGGACGCTTTTCCGCAAAAAGTGCTTTTGCGGAAAAGCGTCCGTGCCAATCTAGATGCTCTTTTCCGAAAATGCTTTTAACGGAAAACTTTTCAGTTAAAAGTATTTCTGGAAAATCATGCCAGTCTAGACGTAGCCAGAGAGTGGTCAGCAGGGCTGGGGCTCTGCCATCTTAACTGGCTCCTGTTGTGGCAAGCCTTGGCTACACCCTTATTCTGGGCCAGGCCTCCTCTTCTCTCCACCTGCTTTGTTTGCAGCTTCTCCCTCACCCCAGCTAGCTGTAGGAACTGCTGGGTGTGTGGTGGGCCTCTGCTTCCTTGCCCGTGGGTGGAGAACCCCCTTTTTCCATCTTTTTGGGGGACTATCTGCCCCCACGACCACGTGGTAACAGGCAGCGGAGTTGTCTTCTTCTCACAGGAGGTTGAAGCACTTGGCTTGACCCCGGCTGCCTCAGAGGGGGGTCATCTTGTCCTGGAGGAACAACAGCTGCCCTCTTCCTCTCCCTGTGATCTACCATCCTCACTTCTCTCTGCTTCCAAGTTGCCCCAAGGTGCAACCACCGCCCCGGCCGTGAGCAGCACTTTGACTGTG